AAGTGGATTCACTGACCCACGGGGCTCTTTGGGCATTTATTAGCAGCCCTAAAATAGCTTTGTAACATGACCTGAATGAACAACTGTATCCTGAGCATTGCTCATCAGTATTGTCACCTATTAATTTCCATAATAAACCCATAATCATGAGCACTATCTGCGAGCTCTGTGTGAGCATTCTAATTAATTATAAAACCCAGGAGAAAAGTAGGGAGTACCATGGGAAACAAAGGTGAAAAAAGTCAAGTCAAAGCCAAAAGTGACATGTGAGAAAAAGCAAGATTATAAAATATGTGTATATGAACATATACATGTATATGTATAGATACATATAACTTTCCACTAGATGAATACCAAAGTGGTTGAGCCCAGATTAACTGCAAATAAGAGCAGAGCTTTCCATGGAAATTTTAAACAAACGGGATCAAGATCCTAAAGAATTTCTTGGAAGAATTTTAACAGATGATGAAACATGGCTTTACCTATAAGATTTTGAAGACGAAAACAATCAATTCAATGGCTACCAAAAGGTGGAAGTAGTCTAGTCAAAAGTTAAGGTAACAACAGATTTTTTGTTTTGGGGAGTGGGGGGTAAGGGACTGACTGCTCAAGGCATTTTGCTAGTTGGCTTTCTGAAGGGCCAATGAATGATAACACCTGCTTATTATGAGAGTATTCTGATGCAGTCAATACTTTAGCAGAAAATTAATTACCCAGGAAAGTTTCACAGGAATCTTTTCTCACAGATACTCTGGCTCACTTCTCTTACCAACAAGGGACAACTTCGTGGAGAAAGTGTCGATGGAAAATCATTAGGCACCTGATATGGCTCCTTTTGACTACTTTTTGTTTCCTATTCTTTAAAAAAAACACTTTAATTTAGTAATATAAAGAAAGTTAATAATGTAAAGAAAGACTGCATTGACATAGTTAAATGGACCTTCGGTTCTTTTAGAGCTCAACTAATGGCTAGTATCAACAGTTACAAAATTGTCTTGACCTTAATGGAGCGTGTGTTGATAAATAAAGTTTATATATTTATATTTTTATTCCACTGTACATGAGCTTTTTGAAATCTCATATTATTAAAAGTAAGATTTAAAGAACCCAAAATTTATATGCACATATATTTGTATCATCCTTAACTTAGCTCTTATTTCCTATTTACCTTCAGATTCTACATATGATCTTTCTCAAATACTTAAAGTAAGCCATCATCTTATTTCAGCACACCTAAGAGTGGTGCTGCAGACCCCATGTTTGACTGTTAACTGCAATGTCACTAGTTCAAGCTACCAGTAGCTCTCAGTAGAAAGGTAAGGCTGTCTACAGCTATTAAATAGCAGTCTTAGAACTCTTATTTCGGGTCACTATCAGTAGAAATCTATTTGATGGCAGTGGGTTAGTTATTTAATCAGTGAAAAATAATTGTGAATCTAAATACCTTCAGCTTGTCACTACTCAAATCTGGTCATTGAAGCCACAAGCTTTTTGTTTCTGCACTCTTTCATTTGCCCTCTGAATATGGCTCTTGAAAAAAAAAATAAATAAAAGTACTAAGTAAATAAAATACTAAGTGATTTTAAAACCACTCCTTTCCCATCATTTTGGATTAAGTGATTTTGCTACTATCATTTTCCACTCTCCAAAACTGTAGAATTTTTGCCTGATTCACAACCAGTAATGACCCTTTCTTTGGTCCTTTTAAATTCTGCTAAGTTACTTTGATGATCCCACTATGATTCTCAATTCTGATTGTACAACAAAAATTGCCCAAGAACTTAAACATACACACACACACACACTGAAAACTACACAGCAGCGAGGATGAACTAGTTTTAACTTGCTATGAGGAGGAGGAATTATACATTCTATTGAGGTCATGCATTTTTTGTTCTGCTGAATCAGAAATGTGCTGCTTGCATTTTTGTACCATTCATAACATGACAGACACAGAAATTGCACATGTTTAAACTTATTCCCCATTGTAAACATTTCTAAGATAGTCCACATAAACCAAGAGGGGCAAACTTTTCTTTAAAGGGCCACAGAGTCAATACAGGCCACATGGTCCCTGTGGCAACTACCCACCTCTACTGCCATAGACAGTATCAGATAAACAAATAACTGAAGCTGTGTTTCAGTAAACGTTTATTTACAAAACCAAGCAGCTTTGACCTACGGGCTGTAGTTGAAAACTCATGGACTACAGTCTCTAAACAATCAACAAAACAACAAATCAAGCCCTGATGTACCAGGGGGTACCCCAAAACCTGAAACTGCAATGGGGCGGGGGTGGAGCAGAGCTTTTGTAGTACACATTTTCCCCACTAGGTGAGCATCAAGCAACTCATTCTGAGTTAGTGCACGCAGTGGCGTAAAATATGAAGGTTCTCTCTGGTCACAGTGAACTTTTTTGTAAAAGCAGTTTCACTCAAACCTTGTTTTTGTGATGGCTGATTTAAGAGAACAAAATGTGGTTCTGAAATTTTGTTTCCTGTTCAGGAAAAATGCTACAGAAACTGTTGGGATGCTGAACACAGCTTACAAGGACAGCACTATGGGAAAAGATGTAAGAGTGGTTTCTCATTTCAAAAAGGGTGAAATGTTGATTGATGATAAATCTTGTTCTGGACATCTGTCAACTTATTGAACGCATGAAAATGTCAACTCGTAGTGCATTTGGAGTTCATTCCACCAGGTCAGACTGTTAATCATGCTTTCTATTTAGAGGTTCTGAAAAGATTGCATAACAGTGTGTGACAAAAAGGTCTGATTTGTGGCAGACAGGGGACTGGTTTTGCCACCACGAAATGCACCTGCTCACACAGCCATCTCAGTGCTCCAGTTTTTGGGGGAAAAAAACAACAAAAAAACAGCATGCCTCACTGGCCTGACACACCTTACTCACTTGACCTCACTCCATGCGACTTGTTTAAGTTTCCACGAATGCAGAGGGACCTGAAAGGACAGTGATTTCTCTAAGTAGAAGAGATGAAGAAAAAAAACGAGAGAGGTGTGGTCAGCCATCCAAGCAGATGAGTTTGAAAAATGTTTCCAAGAATGGAATTTCAGATTTGACAAATGTATTAAGTGTAATAGAGAGTGATTTGAAGGTGATAAGGTTGTATTGTTAAGGAAAAAAAATCTGTTTTTCAAGGGTACCCCCCTCGTGTAGCATTTTCCCTTGTCTTTGGTATAGGTATTCTGACTATGGTCAATTTTGAGTTATCACATGTGTCATCATTGAATGAGTGTGGGGAAACATGTGCAATTTGCCTTCCTCATATACTATACATAGTATATATGTACATATATAATTGGCCTTCCTCAGATACATAGAAAATCTCCATGAACTTTTTGAAGCACCCTCATACTCAACATTGTCCAATATAATTGTCTGTGATAAAAGCGATTTTCGATAGAGCATTGTTTGGTACAGGGGCCACTAACCATGGGTTCAGCACTTGGAATGTAATTAATGTAAACAAAGGCACTAATTTTTTAAATTTTAATAAAATTTAAATATCAACATGTGGTTATAGTCTAACCTAAAGGGCAGCAAGAATAATCAAAATATTTATAACTGCATTGTGTCTTTTCACATGTTAATGTCCTCTTGTTTTCAGGATTATGAAGCATATCAAAATAAGGGAATAATTCAGAGTAAAGATTTATACCTAAAAGTTAAATATTTGCTATCATGCAGGTTTTTCAGAATTCAGCAGTGAAGTTGTCTAGCTATTAGAGCACATCTGATGATTGCTGATATAAATGGCTTCTCAACCAATAACAACTAATTTACAAACAGGCAAAATGGATCTCTAGTGAGTTTAGAAACCTGGATAAGAAGCATATTACTGGCATAACACTGGGACCTTGCTTCTTTCTATATCCTTAGCTATCCAGTACAGGCTGTGAGAAATGCATGATCATGTTAAGCATGGAATTAAATTTTCTCTAAGGTTAGTTTTTACATAGTAATAATCTAATTCAAAATGTAAACATGGGAAATCCATTAAAAGAAATTAGTGGAGATAGAAAATATAAACATTTATTTGAATAATAGAATAATATTAAGAAAAGGGAGTTATAAAGTTGAATTTCTTGAATAGTAACAAATTTCTATAAACAATCAAAAGAAAATGAATATCTGTAGTAACAATAGTTCTTTAGTTAGAAAAGAGTCCACATTGAGTAATTCAAATTTAACTAATGATAGTACTTTAATATGACTGATATAAAATCACAAAGCTATACTAACTTTAAAGAAGACTCAACATAGACACTGTACTACGAAAAACAGAAGCATTTAAATTCCCAAGTATTTAGTGCCTACATCACCTACCTTGAGGGTGGTTTTTAAAGAAATTTTGTGCATGTGTTTTTCTTTTCTAAAGATGCAATAACAGAAAGTAGTCTGGGATATTTAGCCATCTTGTCCTGACAAATAACCAATTCACCTTTATTCCCAGTATATTCTCCAGTATTGATTTTACCGAGTAAACTCAGACATGTGTCACATTTACCCAATACATATCTTTTTCCTTGGAAATGTAGTTGAGTACCAATCAGTCACCTGGCCTTTCACCTGCAATTCCTATTGCCACTGCCTGTCAATTATTAAATCTAGCCCATTTCTCCAAATCATCTCTTTCAAATTTTAGTTTTTATAGAAATATACAATGACTCCTGTGAAAATATGTATGCTTCTTGGGAAAGGATATAAATTATCACTTGATTAAATCTCTTTATTAAAATGATCCTTTTTCTGGGTTGAAAATTAGTCCTATTAATCCACATTTCAAAGGACTCTAGTCAATTTTCTTTTAAGGGACAGATCCTCAGTGGTAATATTATCACTTGTAAGCCAAACCCTAGTTAGAAGAAGACAACATAAAAAGAAATTCAAGCTGAGTGGCTTTGTGACAAGGGCCTTCAAATAGAGCAGTGTCTCCATCTCTTGCTGAACCCAATGAGAGTCACGGAATGACACCCACCTTGAGCCGCAGGCCTCCTGGGAGAAGAGTGTTTGCTGGCGGGCTTTTAATGTGTTGGTAGACATAAGAGGAGAATTGCTCCTGCTCAGCCTGTAATTGGGGGCCAAGTTTAGAGAGATGACCTCTGTTGCTTTTGATAGCTGTCTGCAATTCATCAATCAGCCTGCTCACCTGAAGGGGTTAAATTACAAGAGTTGTTAACAAGAAGTAATTGTTGATGTCACACCTATTAGATTTTTGAGTACCCAGTTTGATGGGGGGTGGAGGGGAGACTTCAATACAAGAATTTCAGCACAGATCTATTTTCAAGGTAAAGAGATTAGAAGGGATATACATTTCTTTATCAACAAAGTTATACAAGGGAAAACGCCCAATCATTTCACTTCAGGAATATAAAATAGTCATTTACAATTACTGAATAAAATATTTCTCTGAGTATGAAAGAAAAAAATACAAACCACACACACACCAGCATTTAAGAAACACAGATATAAACCAAGTCCCTGGGTGGTATAAACAATTGATGAACTTGGATGTTAATATGTTAATGGAAAAGTTGGAAGCGCAAGCGCACTCAGATGCACCTCAGAAAAAAGGCCTGGAGATCTACTTCTGAAATAAAGCACAGTCAGAAAGCTCCTTAGAGGTAAGGACAGCTAGACTTCATCTCACAACTCAGACATGTGATCACAAAAGACCAGTCCTTGGAGAAGGGCAACATGCTTGGCAAAGTAGAGATGCCATAAAAAAAAAACACTTTTTTTTAAAGAGGAAAGCCCTCAACAAGATAGATGGACAGATTTACATAGTGGCTGTATCCATGGGCTCAAAGAAGAGCAATTGTGAGGCTGGCGCTGGACTAGACATTGTTTCACACTTTTGTACATAGGGTCGCTATCAGGTGGAACAGACTGCAGTATGTAACAACATAAATTTACAATCTCTCTAGTAGACTGGATTATTAAATAAATACTGGTTGCAATATAACAGTGACTAAAATTAATGAACAGTAGGAATTCATTTCATCCATGACCATTTACATAATCAAATTAGACCCATTTGGAATTATGAATGGCTCTGAATGACCCTCAGATAATTAGAATCACCACATACAACTTTCCTCTAGTTCCTAAATGCTTTCTCCCCTCCCACTATCATGTTCCCAATTCTACCTTACAAATCTGTCTAGACCAGAGGGTGTACACTGGTACAGATAGGAACTGGAAACATAGGGAATCCAGGACAGATGATCCCTTCAGAACCAGTGCTGAGAGTGGTGATACCAGGAGTGAGGAGGGAGGGTGGGTTGGAAAGGGGGTACTGATTACAAGGATCTACATATAACCTCCTCCCTAGGGGATGGACAACAGAAAAGTGGGTGAAGGTAGACATCGGACAGGGAAAGATATGAAAAAATAATTTATAAATTATCAAGGATTCATGAGGGAGGGGGAGTCGGGAGGGAGGGGGAAAAACGAGGAGCTGATGCCAGGGGCTTAGGTGGAGAGCAAATGTTTTGAGAATGATGAGGGCAAGGAATGTACAAATGTGCTTTACAAAATTGATGTATGTATGGATTGTGATAAGAGTTGTATGAGCCCCTAATAAAATGATATTAAAAAAAAGAATCACCACCAAGAATAGAATCTAGCAGGTACCAGGATTACTGGGCTACTCTAAAATTCATTATCCTCTTTTCTCTAAAGCACTCATCCATCACCTCTCCCATGAGTGTTTCTTGTACTTACTTCCTAGATATGAACATATGTTACTTAATCCAAGTTTGCTTTGTTTTACTCTTTATGCGTCCATGCCACATTCTTCCAGTAAAATTATAAACATCCTAAATATCTTCCCCACTCTATATATCAATCCCTTGATCCTTGGAAATAATACTAAACTCGATATGTAGCTCGAGTGGAATGAGTAAAGGTAGCAACAGATCCAGGAGAGCAAGAAGTAGCAGATGAGTCTCTCTCACAGTCACAGAGACAGACAGAAGAATTGCCTGTATGTCTTGGTTTGACCAAAGAAATATAAGTAGAAGTAGCACAAGCCATTTGTAGACAAAAGCTTTAAGAGCCTCTCTTTGGGCTACTATTGCTTTTCACTATTACCATGAATACAGCAATGTCCTAATGGCCGGGGAGGTTGTGGGGTGAAGCTCTTTCTCCAACCTTGATCCCAGACCACAGAAGATACAGGAAGTGGCATAGCCAACCTGCAGTCACAGTATGTACTCTGAGCAATAGACCTATGTTTTAAGCCAGTGAGATTTTGAGCTTACTGACTGATGCAGCACAACTTAATGTATTGTTCTACCTTAAATGTTTGTAACCCTTAATAACTCACTAGGCAAGTTACTAACATGTAGCTCTGAACTGTAAATTAGAATGAAAGCCTGTAGAAATTTGTACTATCCCCTCAAGGCTTTGGAAATCATGGACATAGAAGGTAGAAAGTGAAGACGGAAAATGAAAGGCGATGGAAAGATTTTTTTAGTGATATAAATAAGAAGAAATTGTTAGAAATGAAAAGAATATGAGGAGAAAAATAAAAGGTGGGGAGGTAATTAGGGATCCTGAGCAGAGAAGAAAGAGAAGGAATGAAAACATAACAAGAAGAGAATGTGATTTATAGACTGAAATCCAAAGGCAGATTTTGCTCGTGGTCTTCCTTCTCTTACTTTCTGGAAAACATTTCTGTGCTTTTCTTGGTACTGTTAATCCTATGAGAAATGACAGATGATCCAACATTATTCAATGTTTTTAACTTTGTCTTCACCATCAGATAATAGTATCAGACAGCAGTAGTGAGCTCAAAAATGATGGCTAATAGAATGTATCATACCAAAACTAATGACCAAACAGGCAAGGCGACTTGCCCATATAGTTACCTAAAAAGATTAAAAGCCAAGAATCACAGGCCCGAAATAAAGGAACTCCATTCTGGAAAGCACTGATTCTCTCTAAACTTATCCCCAATATCATGCAATTCAGAAGGAATTTATGGAGTCTTTAAAAATTTAAGTACTGTGCTAAAACATCTAAATACGGTGCTAATCGGTAATTTGCCACTCAGTGACACTGATCTTTTTCACTTTATGTCCTGCACCTTTTTGGATAGTAAACCAAATAAAGTCAACAAATATGTGAAGGAGGAATTTCAGACTCGGATTTGAGGGCATTTTTATACATGACTGGATTTACTGTCACAAGCCATAGTCTTTCACTGATAGGAGATTTCATGTGACATCAGAAGTCAGTCAACCATACAATTGATGATGCCATTTGCATTCTAAAGAGCTATTGGTTAAAGTCTTAAAAGTATTATCTGAGATGAATTCTTTGTTGCTTTTAATGTTTTCTCTTACATTTTTGCTTTTGTCATTGGATCCATGATCAAATGCTTATACCTATGATGCATAATTATACCAACAGTAATCTAGCTCTTTAAAATAACTTAAAACTATAATATAAGGTGTCCTAGAAAAAATTAACTTACATCTTAAACATGGAAGGAACAAATCCAGAATTCTGCCACTGACATTTCAATATTTTTTCCATTCAATTTTACTTAAACTCTATGTTCCTTTACATATTCATAAGGTCTTTTCCCTTAAGTGCTACATTTTTGTTTTCACTTAATACAATAGCATATCAACTCTAAAGATAACCCTATACATGAAATAGCCCATATATACTAAAATCTGGTAGGTAATATAATACACTTGAATTGTTTTGCATAATATGATTTTTTAAATCATAGATATTGTTAAAAAGAAAAAAATTCTTTAAAAAATTCTTCATCATGAATCTTTTCTCCCCTTGCAAATCCTTTTTTCCCTCTTCTACAAAAGCAATGTGAATAGGGGCAAAAGAAGACAAAACTTGACCTTTTGTGATCCCAGCATTAATGGGTCTGTTCATAATTCAATCTATGTGTGTGTGGAAGCATCCATGTGGAAACATCGAGGCCTGAGAGACATAAAGCCTTTCCCTTTAAACATTATCTGACCCTATCAGTCCCATTCACAAAAGGAGGCTTACGTATGCATATGTTGAAAAAAATGCACCATCTTATTGTGCAGCAGAAAGCCTACACATTTTGCTCTTCATTCTCCGTGGAAGTGCAGCACGGAAGTGACACTTGTACAGAATTTGAGAGAGTGACAAATGAGCAGAAGGTAGCCGAGACAAAAATAAAAAGGAGCATTCTGGTAAGGAAACAAACCATACTTCTGAAAGAATGCAAATGTATGCCAGTCTATAAACAGACACAGTATTCTGTGGCCATGTTTATGTGGCACATACATACAAGCCTTGAATTCAATTCTAGACACAAGATGATTTGCAGCCAGCACAAAATAATGTGATCATTTGTATATGCACATTCTAAAATGCATGCATGTTGCAGTTGTACATTCTGAGCTCTACATTCTGGATACTGGACTTTAGCTTTTAGTCATGACCCTTGAGACACTGCTGACTTCTTTAGGGATGAATTCAGCTGTTGAACAGAATGCTGCATGGATCAGAATCCACTCATATCACCAAGGAGGGCTCTAGGATGCTTTCCATACAAATGGGTGCCTGAAAGAAGAGAGAGCATCAGTCTCTCTGCTAGGAAGGCCATTTTGGCAGGTAACATACCAGATGGTCTCAAAGTAAGGACTTAAACTTAGGCCCCTAACTTTGCAATTCACAATACCATTAACAGAAAAAGAAAGGGGTCAGAGATATAAAAATGGTATTTTCCACTTCTGAAAATCTCTTCTTTGTTTCAGGTCCAAAAGTACAGTGTTTTTCAGAGTAAGAAGAGAAAGAACATAACTCTGAAAACCATTGTCTCAAGATCATCTTTAAACTTGAACCAAACATGTCTTCTGAAATTTTCTTAAGCTGAACAATAGTCTAGTTTAACTTGTTAAAAAAATTCTTCAAGAACAGTAGGCTTTTTTAGAACAATCTACATAGAATCAAACTGATAACACAATGTGAAATACTACACAGCAAGGCTGACAGCAGTAAACATATATTCATGAAGGAGGAACAACTGCAACAGAAGGCGAGAATGGTTATACAACCTGAACGTAATCAAGGTCACTAAATAGTTCTTACAGAAACATTTGCATTGTGTGATTTTCTGTGTATAATCTCAACAACTTCTTCTTCTTCTCCTCCTCCTCCTCCTCCTCCTCCTCCTTCTCCTTCTCCTCCTCCTCCTCCTCCTTCTCCTTCTTCTTTCAAAAGAGAGAGGACATGAGCCTGATTTGGAAAACCAAGACTGGAAAATATGGGAGCCTGTGAGAAAAGTTAACTATCTCCTGGTTTGGAGGGATATCTGCAGTGTAAATTGGTGAAATGTATGGCCTCTTTTATCCCTACACTTTGACTACTCCCAACTTGTATTTCATCATTTCTTACAACACTTCTGAGGAGCATAAAATTTTGGGAATGGGACTTATCTTATTTGCAGGCAGAAGGTTCCTGCCATTGTGTTTATTCTGACTCATAGCAACCCTATAAGGCTAGAGTGGAACTGCCTCGATGGGTTTTTGAGGCTGTACATCTTTACAGGAGCAGAAAGCCTCATCTCTCTCTTAAGGAGCAATAGGCATGTTTGAACCATAGACCTGTGCTTAGCAACCCAACCCACAACCCATTGTACCAGCAGAACTCCTGAAGGTCTCTTATGGACTACCTTTAGATTCATTCAACACCTAATATCTTCATCCATTCTTAGAGGAAGGAGTAATTGAAAGTGGGGACACTTTAAAATATTGTTATAATCCATCCAGCAACAGGGTTATGTTGACGACAGTAAGGATAATGTCAGTTAGACCTTTTGAGGTGGCTAATCAGACGTGCCTCACAGATCTTTAATTACATGAGCATCATCATCCATTCAAGAGAGCCACAGGAGTCCTCTGACATTCAATTTTGGCTCAAGGACTACCCACCCCTGCCCCAACAGTGTTGCTGTACCTTCCTTAGACTGCATTGCAATAGAGGATGTTCCATTCAACCTTCCCTTCTTCATGTTCCTTCACTCAGGTTACACTTGCATCTCAGTCTGACACCTCTCAGCTTTCCCCATTTTTCTCTCCATTGTCTCTCAGAGAACCTGAACTAACTTACTTCTAACATATCAATAGCCCCTGTGCACAAAAGTGCTTGTCTGCTAATGGGAAAGCTGGAGGTTCTAATCAAAGAGAAACACCTGAGTAAGCCTGGTTATCTTCTTCCTGGAAGACAGGCCATTGAAAGTCTGCGAAGCCCAGGTCTACTCTGACTGGCATGCATGATCGCCAGGAGTCAGAACTGGCTCCACAGCAACTGGGAGGGGCTAATAATAAATTACATGTTAGGTTTCCACTAGACCATTTCTAAAAAGCTTAATGTATTTTAACATATATAATCACCTCAAAGTGGTCTGATGCACATGTTATTATTATTCACAGTTCTCATGTGGAGAAATTACATAAAATACAACATGATCTTTAAGATAAAATTATAGGCGGTGGATGAGAATCTAAAGCTCAGATTTTATGATGTTTACTTTGAATTTTGAGACATGTCAAGCAGTATATTATATATTTTAATAAATAAGAAACCCATAGGCAAAACAAATGTTGAAATGGTTTTCCCCCAAAGCAATTTTATTTCTTTTCACCAATAGAGTTCACATTTCATTATATGTATTAAAGCTATAAATTATTGTAAATAACTTTTATACCAAATATATCAGCGTTTACACATTCAAACTATTATAAGAATTCTCAGAGTATTAACATACAGTGATCTTTACAGTCTATGGAATATATTTAGGGTTTAGCACACATAAACACAAATATATCATCTGAACCATATGCAATGCGCACATACACATAGAAGGGCTTCAAAATGTTTGCAGAACAACTCCATTATCTTTGATTCTATGTTTCCAAAAACATTTTGAAGCCACTTCATGATGTGTGTATATGTGAACATACACATAGATCATTTGTTACGTTTTTATAACAGAAAAGAAAAGGATTCCTATTACCTTTTAATAACATGTTTTAGATATCTATGTGTATCTATTAGTTAATAAGAACATTGATGAATATAGCACTAAACAAACATGAAAATAATGATAAGTTAAAAAATACTAAATAAATATAAACACTGTTGGATTTCCTAAAAGAGATACTTTGATTTTCCAGTGTTGTCAGCCTGGTAGCATTAAAAATTACATATTTAGCATAATTATCATGTTCCTTGACCAATTAAAATGTTTCAGTGAAATTAAGATTCGTATAAGATAGTCCCAGCCAAAATAATAACAATATCTACAGTGAAGAAACAACATAATTCATTCATTAATTTAGATTATTTTCCAATTAATCTCCAGAGTAATATTGTAACTTTATTATTCCAACAAATGTCCTAAAGATTACCATATTAAGATATATATTACCAGACATCGGACAGGGCAAGATATGACAAAATAACAATTTATAAACTATCAAGGGTTCATGAGGGAAGGGGGAGTGGGGAGGGAGGGGAAAAATGAGGACCTGATGCCAGGGGCTTAAATGGAGAGAAAATGTTTGAGAATGATGAGGGCAATGAATGTACAAATTCACTTTACACAATTGATGTATGTATGGAATGTGATAAGAGTTGTATGAGCCCCTAATAAAATGATTTTTTAAAAAAGATACATATTACCTTCCTAACCATATTTGAACACATAATAAAAGTCTCTTTCATGAAACTTTTGTCAAATGATAAGATATTTTTAATGCATAATTAATATTTCATCTTTTTACTTTTTAGTATTCTGTGAAAAAAATCACTACCACGATTTAAATTGATATAATCCTTATTTGTTCAACTTTAGAAATCTATGGAATCCTTGTTTGTTACATTTAAGAAATTACTTGTTACATTTTAGAAGAGATTGTTACATCTAGAAATTTAAAATTGTTAAATTTTAGAAAATTTATAAATTATTTAGACTGCAATATAGTCTTAAATATTGAACCTATGTAAGTCCCAAATATTAACATGGACTCTAGTGGAAGATTTGCATTATACATTCAATGTGCACCGTGGCTGTACATCTATCATAGAATACATGGTCAGTAATGAAAAGAAAATACTAAAATCCTAGAGCCTAGATAATTTTCTTTACCTAAATGTCAAAAGAGAATTTAATGAAGATATATATATATTCATACAATATTATTATGTAGGTTGCTTAAATATTTTATTTATTAACATTGATACATAAAAATCAGAAAATTCATATTCTTTTCCCAGAAAGATTTTAAATGCTTTTGCATTCCAGGAAACTACAAGAACGTCATTTTCACCTTTTGTCTAACACCAATTTTGTATTATTATTTCATTTATGAAATATGCTGTCAACCTCACAGCATGAGCTTTGGAGGGAAGAGGGTTTGCTTTAATAGTTCTTCATTACAATATTGCCTCCAGAATCTTATGATTCGCTGACTTAGAGTTGACAGTTGTAAACTACAGTCTTTTCTTGGCAAGAGGTAACTTTGTTATCATTTTAAAACTTCACAATAATAATTTTCTTCTTCTATTTTTGTTTGTTTAATTTTATTCTTCTACAGTCAGAAAATGAAAATTGTTTCATATTTATTTTAAGTTCAAAAAGTATATTATTTCTCTATATGTTCATGTTTTGTAGTTTTGAGTTTTAAGTTCCATTAATAATTTGGTAATTTAGAAATTGATGAGAAAATATTCATGAGAAATTTTCATAAAATTATACTATCATTGACTCTTTCAAATATCAAGTTATTTTTCAGACTGCCTTTGTCAAAATCATTATTTTTAGTTTCAAGCATTTTTTAAATATACGTTGTGTTAGCTAACTAGTTTATATGCTACCAGACTCAAAGTAACATTTATCTTAATTTTCAAATTAGTGTTCATTATAGTTTTATAATACAATATAAAAATAAATTCCTTACTTCTTCTTGTGCCTGATGGTGTTCATTTGCTGACATTGAAAGAATGCTTTTTTCAGTAATTTTCTCCTTCTGTTCATCCACAGCAAGGGTCAACTAGGAAAAAAATACATATATATATATATATATATACATAAGTAATATTATAACAGCATAAAAGCAAGCTCCTATTGACTCCTAATAGCAAAATTTCATACAACTAATTCAGCATAATCAAGTAAGATGATTTTAAAAATCTATTTTCTCTATACTTGTCTGAACACAAACTTCATTTAGACGAGATCAGTTTAAAGGGCCATTCTTTATTTTAAAAGTTATACATTTTCATTTTCACTTTTCCTTTTATTGGTTTTAGATTTACTAAAATAGGTTTGGGGGATTCCTTAATTGCAGGAATTTGACAATGGTGAGTACTTTTAAAAAGCATTTTATTAGGATGAGCATAGCAGGGTTTTTGTTTGTTTATTTGAACTAAGTTGATATTTCCAATTAGATTTTTCATTGCCAGTAGAGAATAAATTGGCTCCAGTTAGATCAGAGTGGGGCATAAACCAAAAGCAAATGTCAATTCAAATATTCTAGAATGTTGCTAAGAAGGTTTTAAATCTCTTGACAAAGAACATGTACCTAGCTAGCTCAACAGCTACTACCAATCCATTCTATTTACAAACCCAGATTAACTTTGTCTTCTACTGCTGCTCAGCCGTGTGCTATAAGCAGGTAAATGTGACTCACTGTATCTTTCTTATGGAACCCTTTTAGCACAGTGGGTTACCCATTGCTAACCACAAGGTCAGCAGTTCGAACCCACCAGTTGCTCTGAGGGAGAAAAATGAGACTCTCTGCTGCCATAAATGAGTCCAAATTGATTTAATGGTAGTGAATTTGGTTTCTGCTGAGTATATTCCTTTATAAATAATCCCTATAGAAACAAGTGTTACTTTCAACAAAAAGGAACACCTAAAAATCACAATAGATTTTATTTTTGAATCCATTGGCATTAATCAATCTGAGTCAATTGCCATTAAATAGAAAGAACTTGATAGACTTCTGAATTGAAATATCTAATTACTTTCAAAGAATGGACTTGCCGTGTGGTATCTTCTCACTGAGAATGAGAAGAAAAAATGATGACCATGTTTTGTTTCATTTGTTTTATTAATGTTGTTTTAAACAGGATTTCTCAATTGTTTGCCTCACAAATCATGTTTGGTTAATCTGAATCCTTAATTCATACCCTGTCAGAGCACACACTGCTACATTTGCAATAAAACATGTAGCTCAATAATATGGCCCACTCCAACTAGCTGGATATTACATGCTAGAAGAACAGTACCATGAACACTTCATCCACTGATCAGGAACACTTCATCCTCTGATAGACAGCTCAGTAAATCAGAGATTCTGTTTGGTAGAGAAGAAAGGTCCAGGAATCTATTGGCAACTCTAACCAAGACAAAAGCCTGGTGATGTTTCCTGAAAAGGGCCAGTCACATTTTGCAGGGGAGTCATTTGCAGTAGCTCAACTCTTTCTGGTTTATATTGTCTATTTCACTGTAGTGTAAAATAGAAAATATATAAACAAAATGAGTCTTGCTGTTTTTCAATAAAACTTTATTTAAAAGAAAAAAGATCAATGTGTCATTGCCAAAAATTAGCCAACAGGCCATGATGGCCTGTCAATTCCTTCCCTAGACTGAGAATCAATGATAAAGATTTTTCACACACACAAAAATAATAAAGAAAATCACCAGTATTCTTAGGATAACTCTACCCCTTCAATATTTGCTCCTGTGATGACGTGATACAAAAGAGTGATAACGCTTTAGAAATCTAATATCAATTCAACATCCACATGAAAATATATGTGTGAATGTGGCACGGTATTTGGTGTCTATCACAGGTTCTGGAGAGGAGATGGGTATCCACAAGCACATCTATTCATGGATTGTGATAAGAGTTGTACGAGCCCCCAATAAAATGATTTTTTTTAAAAGAAAGAAAGAAAAGCCATTTCATAAAGCAAAACCTGAATTCAGGGAAAACTTTTGAGTAGGATTGCCTCATAGAACTTCTGTATGGAAGCCGACTGCTACATACACCCCCGACTCCAACACCCTGTGGGGCAGCGAGTGGTGTCAAACAGCCCACTTTTCCATCAGCAGTTGAGCACTAAACCACTGCATTACCAAGGCTTTGGTAAGATAAACAAAGCCAGAGCAGCAGAACTCTTTGGTACCACGGCAGGTAAGTCAGATTGTAATGAGGTTTCCCAGGACCATGACATTTAGAAATGCTTCCAAGAAACTCTTTTGACAGTGAGAACATTTTTTAGCTTGGAAAGCACCACAGCTGGAAAAACCACCCACATCCTAAGGCTCAACTCCTAAAGCAGTTAGTTACATAACCTCAGAGGAAAATGTACACCAACATTACCAACCGAAGCACAATACTAAGTGGGAGTGAGTAAGAGAGATGGGGAAATAAATGGTCCACAAACCACACGGAACGGGCCTTTCCTGAAAACAGGCAAACCATTCTGAATGAGATACATTTTAATACAATCAGAACACATTTTTGAAAGTATAAAGTCAAATCAAGAAAGTGCATTTCACCCTGAGGTATTAATAATATGCAATGCTAATAGCATCTCTCCCTCCAGCGAGTGGCATGGTAACAATAGCAAGACTCTTCTTTCCTGTCACTCTTGATGAAGGCCTCCTGCTTCTGCTTTAAGACCAAACTAGATGCTTTTGATATATTATTCTTACCGGAAATTCACAAAGCATTTTGCCAATTCACTTGACATTTCTGAGGCTAATTTTTCATGTCTCAAGGTAGAAACTTCAAATGAAAATTTAAAACAACAGAAAGTTGGCTAAAATTTGTACATAATTACATAATTGCAAAAAGCCAATTCCTACCAAGTGGGGAGAGGGGACTGTGAGCCACCTCTTCTAAGTGTATCATGCCATGTTTAAAGGCGAGGAAGCATTCCCAAAGAGTCATTGGGTACCCAAATCTAACCAGCCAAACAGCAAGGATGAATTCATCCTTTGGGTCAGACTTGGTGCTTTTTTTTTTTTTTAATGTAACAAAACTCGAAGATATCCTGTATCAGGCTAAAGTTAGCTCTACTTAATATTAATGGGAAATTTAGGGTGAAGAAGTATGTTTTAAAAGCAGTAACCAGAACATAGCAATAAAGAGACTGGTCAATGGTGGTAGACATGGAGGAAACGAGAAATATAATGGCCCTGTCCAAGGGAATTGAATAGAAGTGCTTCAAGAAGATGACGAAGGTAGAGTAAGAGAGGATAAAGGAAATAAGTTTTCCTCAAACAAAATTCATCCCCTCATTTCACCTTCTCTACAGTCCTAAAGAATCATACTGTAGAAATCCATAGTTCCACATAAAAGTCCCTTGTGACTGTCATAGGAAATGTTCTTCAGTCTGAGAAATTCTTCTAACCCAGTAAGCTCTACCAGGGACATCCTAGCAAGGAAGCAACCTCAAGACACCAGCTGGGAAGATACAGTCTAGACAGCACTCATCTCCTTTAAGGTATGTTCTTAATGGTTGATGGCTTTTCTTCTGTGTGTTTTTAACTCCTCCCCAAAAAAGTGCAGATGAAAGTTATAAAAAGTTTATCTGATAGTATATATGAAATGTGTCATAAGTTATCATTTCTAATCTTATCAGAGTTTTACTGGTACAAGGTAAAAATGAATTTTTCCTGTACTTTTATTGGGGGCTGTTACAGCTCTTATCACAATCCATACATTCATCCGGTGTGTCAAGCACAAAAAATGAAATCTTTACTGGAAAAAATAACTCTAAAATGGTCACTCTAGGGCTCAATCACTAATATCATTAGAAATGGAACAGTAACCCACACAACCTGCTCTCTCACTGTTTGAGTAATTCATATTGACATTCCAGATAGGTACTAGCCAAAGGGGAAAAAGCCCATTAGCCCAAGCCAGCTCTCACTGTTCTGGACTATAGTTACAGAGTTATCATTTCTCCTGTATTCAGAACATGGAATGATTCAAGTGGGAAGTAGATGATATGTGTTGTTTCTGATGACCTTAGGAAATCAGCAAAACCCAGTAAGAAAACTGAACATCTACCCACCCCTCAAAATCTAAATTTTACACCAGTAAATAATATTGATTTATTGATGAATTATTTGATGCATATTCTACATGCAGATCAATATACATAACAGTTTAACATAAAGAACAGGATGATCGTATATATTGACAATTTCCCAACTGGTCTGTTAATATACAAAAGACTGGGACAAATTACTTATTTATATATACAAAACACGGTTATAAAGGCCAGCTGCAGGTATTTTTTTGGAAAGTGCATTTTAATAAGGTCCTATTCAGTTAGGGAACAAATGGGGAAGAAGTAGTTTGCACTACAGAGTTTAGTGCAAGAGCTTTCTCTTTTTCTAACCACGAAATCAATCATTTGTCCAGACTGTGGGAGTCAAAGTTAGTTACTGAAAAGAGCTCCGTATATAAACAAGTCAATAACTCATTGTGTGTTATTGTTGAGCTGAAGAAGTCGGCTTTCAAAGAGCTGCCCCTGCCTCTCTCGGAATGAATGTCCCTGTATTCAGGGCTGGGAGAGAGCCCTTTGTTTCTAGCTATTGCTGACTGCCATTTATGTATGGGAACGGGAGGGGCCAGCTAGAAGAGCAGAAAAAGCCACTCATTGGTATCTTAGAAGTCCGGGGGTGTGTGGGACACAACGAATTTTTTTTGGCATAAATAATTTATATCTGGAAATGCATTAACGATACTGATAAAGAGTGGTCACACAACATTGTTTGGGAAGGGAACTATCTGATAAATAAGTCTGTATTATTTTACTACAATCAGGCTAATATCCTTGGCTCGCTACCTGTCAACAAAGATGAGACCCAAATTCAGGCAATGTTTTGAAACGTTCAAATGAACAGAATCAAACTTGTGGACAAGTAAATATGTCAATTAAATGCTATCTACTTCTGCCATAAATAGGAAGGTTGATTTTTGGGATTCTCGAACGAGTTTTTAAGGTGCATGAGGGTGTGGGGGCG